CAGTATGCAGTGTCGAACAACAATATTCAAAATACTGTATGTTTTTGTCCATATTGTTTCTTTAAAATGTGTTTTAATGTAATAATTGTGTTGCAACATACGTTTAAGTCCAATTTGCGACGGAGGTTATGTTTTTATGGAAAACAACACGAGATATAGAGGTGTTGTAAGGACGTTGTAGTAGCTACGTATACACTGGCTGATTTAATGTTCTAGGCAAGGTTGACATAATTAGCCAATCAAATGATCGTTGTCAATTTCCAACATATGGTGGCACTAAACATTCAGACATTTACGATTCACTACTCAAATATATTAACCCTGTCAATAACACACTAAAAATTTGGCCCAGCTGCTTTTAAGTTTGCAGTTGTGAATTATGTCCACCATTTTTAATCAAAATAATTTCTCATTACTGTTTAATTTCGAACACATGTTGACACTGAGCACTCAGAATCCATGACCACATCTATTTCAAATTTACGGCGACTACATTGCTTAAAATAACTCCGCCCACTCAACAACACGCTTAAACTCACAGACAGCTGCTCTAAAATTAGCAGCGGAGAATTATAGCCTGTAACACAAGGGCTTGTCTCTCGTTAATGTAAGAATTCACCAGCTGCATTATGGTTCCTGATTGGCCACTTGCAATGTCAATCACTTGGCAAATGCAGGAAAACACGGTCGCTGTTTAGGTAGTCGAATTGTCAATCATTTTACCAATATATATTGGTACAATATATATATATATTATTGTCAAATCATTTAAAATCACCATTTGTATGAAGAGTTCGACAAATTTCTTTTGATTGACTTTGATTTACGATGCTATTACCATTGTTTGGTCTATTTCCACGTTCGACTATTGTAAACGATTAAAGCGGAAGAGTCATCGACTGCGCATGCGTCATATAACCATAGCGTGTCATGTTCACAAAAAAAAGAGTCTACCCGTGAGCCTTTGTGTTTTAGCGTGTGTTATTGTCGCTTGGGACTCAATTGCTGCGCGTGCGCAGTTGACGACCCTCCCGCTTTAAACTATTCCTGCTTATGTTTCATAAATAGCCCGACTCGTATCTTTGAAACATGTTTATACAAGTCTTGGGCTCCCTGAGTTCCCCTAGTTGCTTACCAACCAAACGCACCTCGGGCGGGGGTACGAATCTATGTGGATCCGGTCTGCAGAAATACGCACTTACAACACTATACAGCCTCAGTTCTGTATGGCACATGATGATGTGTATTGTAGACATGCAATGTTACCTTTGAAAGTTCACAAACGTCTCATAATATATTGCACTGGCGGTGCTATTGGACCAGGAGGTAATGGGAACTGCTACATTAGTTCTAAATTCACTGGTGACGATATCTCTATAGGCTCTATGTACGTAACTGGCAGTTGCATTTTGTTCACAAACCTAGGTGGTCTTAGAAGCCAGTAACTCTCCCAACGTATAAAATCATACCCTTATATTGAATGGTTAGCTACGATGCCTTATAAGAAAAATTAACTGTTTCGATTGACGTTCTTTTAATGTTATAAACCAATTACGTGTTTCGAAATACGTAAATACAAAATAAGTGTTTGTTTACGTCGTCTTAGTTATCCAACTGACTCAAATGTCTCACTCCCTGAATCGAAACCGAAAGCCGTGTACCTGGACCATTGTGTGAAGTACAGACGAGCTGCTAACTATACACGTCCCTGCACGACAACACGTACGACCGGATAAAAGTCTCATCCGCCACAAAAAAAAATATACAATCAAATACGCACTTATGTGGTGGGTGGTGGTGTGGTTACAGTAGTGGGAAAATACTAAGCATGCTTTGATGAGAAATCAGTATTGACTTAGGGTTTAACTAAAGTATGGTGGCTAAACCGAGCCAACAGACACACTGTTATTGAAGTAATAAGAGCCGGGATGTACAAACTAAACCATACCGAAGACGAACTTACAACAGTCAAGCTGAGACCAAAGACCAGGCGGCAGCGCAAACAGTTTTCTGATTGAAAATAGATATCCCCTTGTAAACTACACCACTGTCTACACTTTCATCATCTGAGTTTTTCAATAAAGCAGTTAGAAACGTAAATTACTTTGAGGTAGCTAGTTTTTCTATTTATATTTATTTTCTATTTCAGTGATTGGAATAAATTTGTCTAAACCAACTATTTACCTGAATAAAAGAAAGTGACAGACTTGAATGTGTAAAACGCGTTTCCGAGGACATCTACATCGTAATTGGGGAAAGTCTGTCGTAATTAAAAAAAAACACATTAAACGTATGTTAACCCTCTAGGACAGGTTTGTACTAGCATTAAGCACAGATAAATATGCAGACCGAGTCT